GGAAAAGTTGTGCCTCATGTACTTGAGTGTTTTCAGTAATGTAGAAGAAAGAAGCATGTTTTTGAGAATCATGTGGTTGAATATTCTTTTTTTAAAGAAAAAGTGATAATTTGATGAGTTAAAAATGGTATCTAGCTGTTTTAATAAGGCATATTTAATCTTTCTGAGCTTCAGAGAAGGAGTCCTGCCCAACCAACCTGTTGTCTTTACTTAGCATCATGCTTTATTTAGAATGGCTTTGGAGCCCATGCTACTCTAAAGGTTTAGTTGAAATAAAATAAAATAGTAGTAATTTGTAAATGTATTAAACACGTTAAATATTATCTTCATCAGTGAGATCATGAGTTTCTTAAAAGCAAGAGTGCCGTTTTCTTTTTCGTGGAGGTAGCCTGTTAATTCGGTGAGAAGGGGTCACACCTTGGAGATCAGCACTGCTGGTCTCCCACCCACCATTATGTTCTTCATCTGCAGTGGGGGCAGTGATGTGTATGTTAGACGATTTTTCAAGGTATTTAATGAAATAATGGATGTGGATGTGTAGAGGAGAAGGGATTGTAGACGTTTTAGCTGTGTATTTCTCTTTTTGCTCCCTATGCTGGGTACACACAGAGGGTACCAACCATGTACTCATTGAGTTAATGAATGTATGACGCGAGACGAGAAGAGCTTTTTATTTTAGAAATCTGAAGGCTTGGAGCACGTGAGTCTGTCAGCAGCTGAGACGTGTAATGTCAATAAAGTTTTGTTAATTTTTTTTTTAAAAAGCACCCACTAAACTACAAATCCCTTCTCTCCTCGACGTAGACGAGTCACGTGGCTGCCAGGACTCCGGAAGTCTGGCCCGCTCGGCCAATCACGCCAGGAAGCCTATGCAACGGCTCCAGGTTGGCCAATCATGGGGAAGCTTGCTCCGGGCCGAGCCGGGTCCCGCCTCTGCGTGGAGCACTGACGGGTCGTTAGCGGATACGGAGGCCACGGGGGCGGGGCCAGAGGCTTCTACCCGGTTTCGCGTCCGGCTCTTCCTTCCAGGGTTTCGGCTCTCGTTCCGCCATGGCTCCCAAAGGCGGCTCCAAGCAGCAGTCGGAGGAGGACTTGCTCCTGCAGGATTTCAGCCGCAACCTCTCGGCCAAGTCTTCCGCGCTCTTCTTCGGGAACGCATTCATCGTGTCAGCCATCCCCATCTGTGAGTGCTGGGAGCGAGGCGAGCGGGGGAGGCCTCGGGCAGGTCGGCTGGGCCGTCCTGGGACGTGGCAGGGCCGGGCGGGCCGGCGGCCTCCCCAGTTCTCCTGAGCGCGGCAAGGCACGTAGCCTCTTCGGGCCTCGGTATTCTCGGCTGGGATTGTTGTGGCCGGCATTTCAGGGAAGTGACTTGTGGCGCTTTTTAAAAGTGCGCACGTTCCTGGGCCCCACCCCCGGATTGAGAGTCGCTAGTTCTGGGATGGCGGCCCCAAATCTGTATTTAAAACAGACGCTCGAGTTAAGTACTTGTGTACTTAAGTACCTGCTGTCCTTTTCCATACAACTGGCGTTTGCCGTTATGAAATCTTAAACTTACTATCATGGAGAAACCCAATGAATTAGGAGAGCCAGCCACCAAGTAACCATCAGAATTTTAAGTGTGTCTTCACGTGAACTGACTCACACCAATGAGCATCATTTTCCTAATTTGCAGAATGAGAGAGGTTGAAGCAGTGGCAGGAGTCAGCAATCTACCTTATTTAGACATTTTAATAATCCTACAAGACCAACTCTAGAATTCTCGTCTTGTTGGGAAGCTGTTTGCACACTTAGCCAAGATTATTTTTAGAGCTCAGGGTTCCTGAATTTGAATCTCGTGCCTTTCACACTGCTGCACTGTTGTTGGGTAGTCAAATCCAAATGTGTTCTCTCTTTTGTTCTTATAAAACCCAGTGTGGCATTAAACGTGGTGTGAAGCTTTATTGGTTCACTGACCCGACAGAGCACTGCCTTGATTTGAGATAACAGCCACGTCAGCAAGTAAAGTGGTTTGGGACTGCACGTGGCTGTTTTGGAACGGTCTGTATTTAGCAGAGTAGTACCCTGATGAATGAAATTTGAAGTCTGAATTGTGATTTTGTTGAGCCAGTTCTCATTTTAGAAGAAGCAGAAATCTCATCTGGACTAATAGGAAGGTTATGTTTTTCAAGTATTCTGTACTGAGAAAGGTTGAGACTGTAACTTTTCACTGGCTGTCTCACCTCTGACGATCTTGAGATACTGTATTGGTTTCCCTAACCCCAACTATATTTTAGCAGGCTTAGCTGTAATTAATTTAGCAGGCTTTTGTTATGGAGTAGTAATATTTTGTTTCTTTTTATACCCTTTCCCCATCTTAATTCAGGGTTATATTGGCGAATATGGCATATGGATCTTATTCAGTCTGCTGTTCTGTATAGTGTGATGACCCTAGTAAGCACATATTTGGTAGCCTTTGCATACAAGAATGTAAAATTTGTTCTCAAGCACAAGTAAGTATGTTTTTCAATCGCATTTTTGTATAATGGGTTGTTTCCTTTAAGATTATTTGTATTCGTGTTGGTTTCAATAAGCATTTGAGATCTATGTGTGTATAGTTGAAGGGGAAGACACATTGATGCTAGGAAGAATTGTTAACTAGCTAAAGTAGAGACAGTGATCAATTTGACACTACTATGGAAATAGATTTTGATGGTGGAATTAGAACACTTAAGCACTAGCTTTAATATGAGGTTCATCAGGAAAACAACCCCATCAAGTAAATTAACACTTCAGAAGCCAAATGGAATTCTTTCTGGAAAGAATTGTTCTGGACTCTTCATGTACTATTTTTGCAAGTGAAAGAAATGGTCTTTTAAAAATTAAACCCTGACATTTTCAAGGCTAATTACTTTTTTCTTACAGT